TTACAGGGCATCCCCTACCCTCTTCCCTACTCTCCTGCCTCTTTGTATCAGGAACCTGCTCCAAAGGCCTGCACCTGTGGGGTCCTTCATTTCTACCCAGGCTGGCAATAGAGTTACTCAACCCAGCTGAGGTGGAGACCTCCGAATTTCCACCTCACCTTGCTCTGCCTCACTGCAATATACTGCCCATGTCTCCATGCCCCCACATGCCCCTGCTGCCATGGACTGAGCTGTGGTGGGATGAAGAAGCCTGGCATCTGCCAAGTTGCATCTGACCTACTGGCTGGCCAGTGGCTCAGCCTGGTGTATTGGTCAGGCAGAGACAATCCCTGGGAAGCCTGGTTCAGCCCTCCCAGCCTGGGCTCCCACCTCCCCTGGGCTTTCTTGAGAGACTAGTTCTTCCACACAAATGGCTCTCCAGGAGCACAGCTGGTGCCCTCAATGTGGCAATGAGGGGGAACAGGCATGTAGTACCTGGGTAGGGTAGGAGTGTCAGGGGACCCTTGCAGTGGGAAAGGGGCCTGGCTGGTGGGGGCATGGGAAGGAGCAGGGCCTCCATGGGTGGGATGTGTGAGGCCTGGGGCTGCTAGAGGGCCACATGCCCTCCCCTCAAGGGTTTGGAATCCTGGTTTTTATTCTGCACCAGAGCAAAACAGCTCATTGGAAATGGTTCTGGAGAAAGGAAAGACCGTATGTCTACTGCAGCCTGACTCTGGGTCAGGGCCTTTCCCTGTGATGAGGAGACTTGCAGGCCAATCCCTGCTGCAGCTTAGGCAAGACTTGAACCTGGGTCTTTCACCTGCCCATCATGTGCCCTGGGGTCGTGGTAATGGGGGATTGGGAATAAGGCTGTGTGTGTCTGTCTCTGATCAGAAATTCCTTCCTGAATCCAAGGACCCTGCAGAACCCATGTTCTCTGTGACAGAGATGTTATTCAACAGAGAACAAGAGACATGTTGGAGTTTGGGGTTCTTTGACCCACTGTGTTGATGACATCTCTGGGTGACAAGTCCCAAGGGAAGTGAGAGTGTCCCCATCCTAGGGGAGGGAGAGGCACAGGAAGGCTCTGCGGGGATGTGCTGTTAGGGGGCCATCTCAGAGGGAAGAGGTGGAAAGGGCTCCTGGAAGGAGCTGGGCCTGAGGATAACAGCTGGGTGTGGGGAGAGGAGGCTGCTCAGTACACAGCTGGCTGTGGATGGAGAAGATGGATGGGAGTGCTGTCAAGGTGACCCTGGGGTGTGGGGGTGCTGGTGGTGGAGTCTGGCTGTGGCCAGGGACCCAATGGAGCTGCCTGCTCCTTCTTGCTAGCAGAAAGCTTGTCCGGACGCTGTGGTTCCCTTTGTGTTTTCTTTGGCAATCCCCAAAACATTGCAGCCAACTCGGTGACTGTCTGGGCTGCTTTCCCTGGCTCTTCTCAGTGCGCCAGGCTGTGATGTCTGGCTCTAGAGTGAGGTTGGGTCTGGGGTGCGGTGCTGGGTACTGCAGGCCACATTTTGTTGCTGGCATCTGGCAGCGTGACTACCACATTTATTGTGAAGTTTCCATCTCCAGCTATTAACCCATACAGCCGTGGTAGAGCCCAGAGTGGGCAATCAAGCCAGGGCTTGCCTCTGGGACCCAAGGGGCCTGGTTCCCACTGCTCTGTGCATGCTGTCTTACTCTGGGCAACCTGGTGGAGGATCAGCATGGTCAGACAGACCCCTTATAGATTCATAGATGATTCATAGATGTTAGGGTCGGAAGGGACCTCAATAGATCATCAAGTCCGACCCCCTGTTAATCTCTTGTTAACACTGAGGCAGTTTGGCTGCCTTTTTTTCTTTTGGGTGCCCAACTGTGGCTACAGGTGCCTGCCTTCCAGCCAGTTACATCTGATGGCTTTGCAGGGGTGGATCCAGAGGGATGCAGAGGCACACACCCTCAATTTTGGATCACGTTGTGGGAGCAGCAGCCAAGAACTTTTTTTCAAGTCCCCAAAGAAGGTAAGAATCTTCCTTTCTGTTCCCCTTTGTGCTGAGGGGCTCCTCCCCCTCCTCTACCCACTTCTGCCACCATCCTGGCTATGAGGGTGAGGGGGGCTCCAAAGCTTCTCCTGCCCTGCTCCAGCTGGGCTGCACAGGGAGCTGGGCTTAGCCAGGGACAGTGGCAGCGGGAAAGCAGGTTCCTTCTCCCTGCCCAGTTCCTTGGTGTTCCCTGCCAGCCTGGAAGCAGGCTCAGGATAGGGGACCCTTCCTGCCAGTGCTGCTGCCTCTATCCTCACTTGAGCCTGGCTCCCTGTGCAGCCTGGCTGGAGTGGGGCAGGACAAGCTCTGGAGCTTTCCCTGCCCAGGACAGCTGGGGACAGCAGCAAGCAGGACAGCGGGGAAGGGAGGGGAAGGCAGGTGCCACTGAGGAGAGGAAGAGAGGGGATGCTGAGAGCAGGAGGAGAGGATTGCTACCTGGTTTGGGACTTTAAAAAAGTCCATGGCTGCTGCTTCTGTAGCATGGTCTACCCACCCCAGGAGGGAGAGGGAGGTTAGGAGCCAGGGCATAGCCACCTCTGAAGTACTGGTTGCTGTTCCTGCACCCTTTTGTTGCAAAAAAGCATCTTGATGCCTACCTTGCTGGGGTCATCTGACCCCAGCAGTCTTTCCTGCCCAAGTGCAGGGGGGGCTGGACTGGATGATCTAAAAGGTCTCTTCCAACCCCTAATATCTATGAAACTATGAAAATTTGGGATTTGCCTATGGCAGCAAGTGTGTGTGCGTGCAGGATCTTACTATACTTATGAAATGGTTCAGAGACACCCCCTTTTTAAATCCCTTTAAACAGCTGCTTGTACTGGTAACTAAAACAGGAAATTTAAACCTCCCTTTGATTCCCTCTCCTGCTGTTTGTTTACTGCGCATTTCCCCAGGGAGGAGAGTGAAACTCTGCTAGTCAGTTTCACTTTTGTTTCTGGTCAGTTTCACTTTGAGATTCTGCCGCGGTAATATGAGGCTGCTGCTGGATTTGGTTTCTTTGCCCTTCCGGGGAAATGTGTGATACAGGAAATAAGGAAAATCTGGGAAAATTAAATGGGAAAATCTTTGTTTTCATATTAAGATTTGTGACTTTTTCACAGCAAGACACCAGCTGACTCCGGGATCTGCTTGGTTGGTTTCCTTTGCATGTGAGCTCTTTATGGAGAGGAGAGAGATTGAGCAGTTAGAAAGTGGGCTCTAAGGATACTGGAATCAAAACTAGGGGCTTGCTTTGGGAAGACGAGGCTGAAAGGTGAGAGGCTGGTTGAGGTGGGAAGGGTGATTTAGCAGGCTTAAAGGCACTCTTGATAGTTTGATGATGACATTATTGGGTGTCTCATGATAACTGATGTTTATTTTCATCCTGGTGATGCTGGAGAAGAGGCTGAAAACATGACCTAAGTGCCCCAGAAAGGTTCAGTCCAGAAGGCCAACTTAAAAGTTGATTTTATTTCTAGATCTTGTCTTTTGTGACCCAGTCATGGGCTTTTTTTTCTCCCCTATCCTGACTTGCAGTCAGTGAATGCTCAGAGCCGGCAATAGAGTAAATGTAACAAGATGGTGCCTCGGTGTGCAGTGTGCAGTTACCTCATTCCCAAGTCTCTTGCATGGCTGGGTCTTTGTCATAATGTGCTGTGCACTCTGGGTTGCCTCAGTGATGGGATCTGTACGGTGCCTGGTGTGCTGACTGATTTGGGGCTGTCCATACTTAGCACCCCTGATCACTAGGCCATCCTGGGCACCCTGGAAAGAGAGATACCAACAACCAGATGCTGCTTTCAGAAACATTAGCCTTGGCCCCTTGGCTGAGAACATACTGAGACTTGGTGCTAATGCTGAGACTAGAGAAAAGACATGGGTTTGGGCATAGGGACAGCTGGTTTCACTCCCCTGCTGTGCCACAGACCCCTTGTGAAGTCTTGAGTGGGTCACATAGCCCCTCTGTGCCCCATGTCCTGATCTCTACCATGTCACCAGTGGCACTGCCCCAGATCACAGCATGCTAGGAGAAGTGCATGCAATGTTTACTGGGGGCCATGGTAAGTACTTTAAATAGAACCCAGGTGTCTTGACTTAGTCCCAGGCTTTCGGCATTATTATTTCACATGCTGCTCATTGGCAGGGAGCAATAGGACTGTGGCTGTAGAGTGAAGGCAGCCCACTCAGGTGCTGCTAGCTCTGGGCTTGTCAGAACCCTTGTGTGATTTAATTTAATAGGATATAAATGAACATAGTGCTTAGGACTGAATTGCAGCCTGGGACTGGGCTCTTCCTCTACAGGTTAGGGGCAGTGGTAGCTGTAGCAGTTGCTGTTGTTCTCTAGCTCCCTTGTGCCTCACAGCCCCAACTTTGAGCTCAGACCCACTGTGCTTGGTGCTGCACATATGCATAACTGAAATCTCTCCCCAGGGAGCCTCAGCCTAGGAGTCACGAGGGAGCAGGTCAGTCCTCCCACATCCTTTGTGCTGATCAGCATAAGGGCAGATCTGAGCCAGGCCAGAGGGACGGGGGTGGAGGAGTGTGAATTTTTTTTTTGTTTGTACTGAGTGCACAGCCCATTATGAAATTGGTTGAACCTCCCCTGCCCCCTGAAATCATTCTGCTTGATCCAGACTTCTGGCACCTTTTTGAAGGAAAAAGTGCATCCATTGGGGACTTTGGGAAAGGGAAACTGTGGTGTGGCTGTGGGGTTGGGCTGAGATCAGGGGAAGAAACCTGCTGCACCACAGGGCCAGATCTGTCCCTCATGTAACTGCCTGGGAGTCAGTGGCACCTCAGAGGTAGCTGATTTAATGCCTGGTGCCTCTTTTAACTCAGCAGGGCAGGCAGAGCACAGAGGCTGCAGTGAAGTGAACCTCGGCCAGGCCCCCCCCTTGCCCCCCAGAGCACAGCTGCCAGCGGGATGGAAAGGCGGGTCTCCTGTCCCTGCGCTGTGGCAATCTCCTTGAGAGGAGCTGGGTGGAGCCCTGCTGTATAAAACTCACAGTAGACTCCTCAGAGCCAGTTCCTTGTGGCAGGCGGGGGGAGAGGCAGGGTGGGAAGGCTGCCTGAGCACACGCCGGCCAGCTGGGACCTCCACAGCTGTCCCTGGAAGGAGTGCCTGGAAGGAGTGCCGGAGGAAGCCCATTGACTCACAGTACACGGAGCATCCTGTGGCAGACTTGGAAGGAAGAGCCAGGCAGCAGGCCATGCATGTCAGACACTTCTTCCATGCCCTGGCAGCCTGGTGGCTCTGTGGGACTCTCTTGGCCAGCTGTGAGGACACCAAGACCAACATGCCCCGACTCCGCCTGTCTTACAAAGGTAACCGTGACTGTCTCTGGAGGGCTGCTCCTGACATGCCCCCTGCAATTGTGACAGGGCAATTCAACTCTTCCTCTGCACTTAGCGCTTGCTGGGTTATTGGCTTGCATCCGGGCCAGATTGGAGCTGTGGATCAGAACTTGCTGAGCTCTGGAGCCAAATCGAAGCTACCCGGAAGAGGCCCAGACTGATTGCTGTGGGAGGGGGCTGCATGTGAGGAAGGGACTGTGGCACCTGGTGGGGCAATGTTACCAGAATGTGGGGGTGTGTGTGTGAGGGGCAGTGAATGAATGAGGCTGGGGGCAGGAGGTCGTCCTGTGAGTGAGAGCCCGCTTGTAAATTTTATGCAGCCAAAGCCCCATCTCCCCGTAGTTACGCTGAGAGCCCCAGAGGTCAGAGCAGGGGTATTGGCAATTCACACCCCCAAGGGAAGTGAAGGGGTTATGTTCACCTGAGACTTTCCACATGCCCCGGTATGTTCCCTTGCCTGCGTGTACTCAACGGATCACGTGCCACGACCCTCAGTGCCCGTGTGTGCCATGCTCCGCACCTCCAGGGCTGGGTGCTGTGGAGCACAAGGAAGTGGGTAGGATTTAAAATGAACTGGGCTGGCTGGGCTCTGTGCTTCCCTTCCTTCCCTATCCCTATGTTCACATCCCCTGCAGGCACTGGCAATGGTTGGGCTGGGGCCAGTGGTGCCTCCCTCCTTACCCCACAAGATGTCAGGCAGGGCATTCCATTTCTACCACTCGAGCTGTGCCCTGAGCGCAGTTGTCCGCACGGGCAGAGCGGGTGTGTGGCCAAGCTGCTGGTCTCTGCAGGATGTCTCCTAGGCTCCATGCCCCACAGAGGTGAAACAGTTCCTAGATCAGCAACTGAACCTGAAATGCCTAGAAGGGATTCCCCACAACCTCACTGCCACCAACCCTGCTCCCTCCTCATCTGTCCTCTCTGGGATCCCCTGGGTGATTTTACACTATGTAGTAACCAGCTTGCAGTACTCTGGGCTTCAGTGCATCATTTCGGATGCTGCCTCGCTGGTGTGTATGGACTGGGATGGGATAGTATAGGATAGTGGTTTTCAACCTATGGTCTGCAGACCCCTAGGGGTTCATAGACTGTCTGAGGGGTCTGCAAAAGATGACTATGATCAAGCAAAAATATGTGAATGCCCACACTTACCGTTCAAAGGGGTCCACACCTCCATTTTTTTTAGGGGTCCGCAAATGGAAAAAGGTTGAAAACCACTATTATAGGACACCCTTGGCTCTGGTCCCGACTCCCCTGGCTGCCACCAGCACCCCCTTGTGACCAGCGTTGGATACTGCAGCACAATCTCATCAGCCTTTTGCTACCCCCTCTCCAGAAAAAGGCAGTGCTGAATGCTGACCTGTGGCCTGGGCAGGAGTCCCCTAATCCCACTGAGACTCAGCCTCTGTCCTGATGCTTCTCACACCAGCTGCTACTGGGCACAAGAATGGCATGCATCGGTCACAGCAGGTGAAGCACCAGAGCCAGGCAAAATGTTCCCCACATCCAGGAGCTTTGTCCCTAGCAGTTGAGGTTGCACTGAATTTGTACCTGAGAAGTTACTGGCCAGGCTGGAAGTGCCCAAGGGCAGCCCCTGCCAGAGAGTCTGGCACATTGCCTGGGCTGGAGCCAGGAGCAGCACAGAGGCAACACAAGGGGGGCAGAAAAGGTTATGAGTGCTTGGAAAAGGCTTAGGGAGGGGTTCCCAGACAGAGGCTCAGGCTGGATCTTACCATCTTCACTCAGCCTTCGTAGCTCTACCCCTAGCCCCATCAGCCCTCGCGTGGTCTCCTGGTTGGGGGTAGCTGGATCTGCACGGTGCTGTGGAAGGGGCAGGCCTGGGGCTACAGCACCATTCCCCTGTGCTGAAGCTTGGCTGGGGGAGGTCCTGCTGCCTTGGACAGAGCATGTCTAGAAAGCTTGTGGGCACCCAACAGGGCTGTTCCCCCAACCACAAGAAAGCTGATGAGGGGCAAGTCACTGCTGGGAGGGCAGTGGATGCAGAAAGACAAGAGCTGACTTTGCCAGCTCCAGCCTCACACTTCCCCCTCCTCCCTGGACAGATGTCTCCCTGGTTTTGGCTCAAGCCAAGTGAATCCTGTGGCTAATGAGAGCCCCAGCACTGGGGAGGCAACGCTTGTATGCATGGTGATTTGCTGCCTCAGATCTGGATGTTGTGGGAGTGGGACTTGGCCTTTGGCTCTGAGCTCTGTGGCCAGGAGAGGAGGTCAAGGCCTCTCCTTAGGTGGCCACTCATGTAGATTCAAGACACAAAGGAGGAGGGAGGTAGCTTCCCCTGGAAACCAAATAGACATAGCCTGTGTGGGGAGCACATGGGAATAATCTGTAGGAGCTGCAGGTCCTTTGAACCCAGCTCCATCCCTCAAGGTGCCAGTGACAGGAACTTTCTCCTGCCCCACATGGTGCAGTGGGGCAGCTAGGACCAGAATTGCCACACTCCAGCCCTGGTCCCAGCCCTTGGGGGGGGGGGGGGGGGCGTG